AGCGGCACTAGCATCCTGCGGAGTTGTGTTCCTGCCATGGAGAGCTTCACGGAGAGCCTTCAAGCACCAAAAATGGTGCCCGAATGAGGGAGAAATTGAAATCTGGTGCGCCACTTCAGAGTTCGAATCAATTTCAAGCGTACTAAACGCTGGGCAAATTCCGGCAGAAAGCTCAGTAGACGGCAGGCGCAAGAGCTCACAGCCTGCCCATATTTCCCCCATATACGCTCTGGTCCACCCGACCGGTGACTCTTCTTAGTCACCTTCTGGACTAATTTGAACTATCTTGTGGAAACCGGTGAATCATTCGCTTGTACCGGTATAAGCACACATGTTTGTAGGCGCTTCTCGAAACTGTGCTAACATATTGGAGAATCAGCTACATAAGACCAGAACACGTCGGACGCAAACCCGGCGGTTATGGCGGCGTTGTAGACGAGGTGAAGGCGGGAACTTGAAGGCTGGCTGAGGAGATGCATGGCAAATTCATCATGTTCGATCAACACTTGATTCTTGAACTTGAAGAAGCAACAATGGCGCCACCATGGGCTAATGCCATGTGTTATTTACGTTCCCTTCTGAATCTTAGCTACCCACGTGAAACCCGTTAACTCAGCTACTCACATCAATTCCTTTCCTGCGTAGCCGCCTTTCACCCACCCGTTGAACCACCTTCAAGGTCTAAGCTGCTTTTCGCAAACTATTGAAAGGAAAAGGTGCCCTTGCCATGGTTGAATGTTCTTCCATGTTGCGATTCAGCTCCTTTTGCAACATGCTGACACATTCATACAATAGCATCCTTCGGCTTAACCAACTTCTAGACAGTTGCTGCATACCCTGTACTTGTCCTTCATGCGGGAGTCTCCATCTTTGACTGACACCCTTACTACTCTCAGCCTCCTGAAACCACACACCCCAATTACTGCCTTCAGCATCCTGAAACTGCACCCCCCAGTCCATTGATTGAACATGGCAAACAACACGGTGATTCTCCGGACTGACATTCTTCTTGGCCCCAAACTGCTAACAAATGCCTTACTCACGTCCTCCATGGATGTGAACTGGTTAATCCAGCGGTTTGTTCCCTCCATTCAACTCTCCACCTTCTCCATCCCCAGTGATAGGCTCTCCCCCCAGGTCATCCTGCACACAATCTGCGAGGTTGGCGTGCTGTTCAAAGTCACTCCATTTTCTGCTGATGAATCAACTTGGTCAGAGTTCAAGTCTGTGCACAACTCCTGTATCCAAGACAGGAAGAGCCTCTTTGTCCACATCGAAGGACGGGAACTGCACCTGGTCGCAGTAGAGTCGACGGAGTCCAGGCCATACTTCTGGGCCTATGTTTGTAGGACAGGCCAGTACTCTGTCTGCTGCAATATGCTCAACCAGCGCACGCTGGCTCTAGTCTTCGATCTTGATGAGACACTCATCATCGCCAACACAATGAAGTCGTTCGATGATCGCATTGCGAGCGCGGAGAGGAGGCTGAGGGCCGAGCCTGACCCTGAGAAGCAGGCTCAGTACGCTGACGAGTCAGCAAGCCTACAGAGGGACAAAGACCTGCTGAGGGACTACATGGATCGCAACAAGGTGACTATTGAAGAGAAGGAGTTTGAGGCTGAGTACGAGGAGGCGCCGTCTGCAGTCACTCCCGGTGTCGTTCTTCAGCGGCCAATCATCAGGTTGCCTGACGGAGTCATTCTGACGCGCATCAACCCCACCAACCGGGACACGAGCGTGCTGATCAAGATCCGGCCCTTCTGGGAGGACCTGCGTGAGTATATTCTGATCAAGGGGCGCAAGCGCTTTGAGCCGTTTGTGTGCACGCTATCCGAAAAGGAGTACGCCTGGGAGGTGTGGCGGCTGCTGGACCCAGGGGGCCGCCTGATCGAGTGGGGAGCCCTGCGGGAGCGCGTAGTGTGCGTGCGTCCCGACATCAAGAAGTCGATCCTGGGGGTCTTCTCGGGCGTGTGCTGCAACCCCTCCATGGCGATCGTCATCGACGACCGGCTCAAGGTGTGGGAGGAGGAAGACCAGAGCCGAGTCCACGTCGTCCCTCAGTACGCGCCCTACTCCAACCCCGGGTTGGAAGAAGGCCTCGAGCTCCCCGTGATGCACACGGCTCGCAACGCCATCTACAACACCCGCGCCGCCTACTTCAAGTACGTTGACGAGGACCTGGTACAAACCGTAGCGAAGCTGACCCCCGAATCGGACCCCAAGACCCTCCCCCCACGGCCTGACGTCAGCACCTTCCTGAAGGCGGAACCGAGCTTCCCCCTGGCGCCGATCGGGGGCGCCGCAGACGGCCTGACGGGGCCAGAGGAGCGGGCGCAACTAGGGAAGGGGCCCAGGATCGGCGAGGAGAGCGGGACAAAGGATAGCACGATGGGGGGCGACACTGGTCCCGAGGTATCCAGCGCTTCTGCCGGGGGGGGTGAGAAACGGCAGGAGCCCGACAAGGGGCCAGCTCCCATGGAGAAGGGGGAGACAGACGGGCATGACAAAGGTGGGGATGCCGTCAGTGATGGAGTCAGCGGAGAAGGGGCGGAGTCCGACGGCGTTCAGGCAAGGAGTGAGGAGGGAAAAGGGGCAAGCGGGCAAGGGGAGTCGAGGCCGCCACAGAGGACGAGTTCAGACGTTCAGCGCATGAAGGAGACAGCGCCAACAGGGGAGAAGGTGGGTTTTCAATCCGCTTTTGCAGATTGCAAGTGAAGCTGTCATGAGGCTGCGGAATAGTTTTTGGCTTGTTGCGAACTTCTTTCTTAGGGCTCTTTCCTGTTGTTTGAAAGCAAAAACAACGATTCTCAATCAATCTTAGAGAAATCCACGATGCGAAGTCCTCCTTCAGCGTATATGGTGGCGGATCTATTCAAAGAGGAATTCCAGATGCCTCAGCACGAATGGGTCTCTCCCTCTTTCGATCTCTCCTTTTTGTATGATAAGATTCATTCCTTGTCCCTGTTGCCTAAAGGAGTCATCTCTTATTCCTGCAAAGATTGAGGTAGAGAAGAAAAAGGGCATCAGTTGTCTTGCTTGACTCCCTTGCCTCATGGATCAACGATGGACACCTTTTGGAGAAACAAAGTGAAAGATCATGACGATTGTGCTCGAGGACATCTTACATCATTCGACTCCTTGCACTCTTCCTCGAGCCCCTGAACAGGACTTGAATCGTTGACGCCCAGACCGCATGGGCAGAGGATACTTCTGAAAAGGCTTCTTTTCCCCCTCGAACAGGATGGTGTCACGGCCAAAGGCGTACAATTGCAGAACGCCGTGAACGCTCTGAGCAGTCTGAGTGGGGGCCAACAGATCACTCACGAGCAGTTGGCAGCCTTGCTGGCAGCAGCGCCTCTGCTGGTCAACGCGGCCCCCCAACTGGCGGCCATCCTTCCCCAGATCCAGGTCAGTCATTCTTCGTTCGTTACACACACCAGAGCATTTGGAGTCAAAGCCTCTTTTGGCGCTCGAATTTAGGAAAGAGTGGGTCCACCGGCGGGAAGGATTATATCCGAAAGCTCATACAGACTACAAGCGGTCCATTCCTTTGTGCCTGCCAAGAGTTCGTCCACTTTTGTGTCTCCTGAAAGACATCCAACGCAAAGCGTTGTTTAAGGAATTAGTCGGTGATTTTAGGGTACGAACAACCTGTCGTAGGCACATCGTCCACCTGTGTTCGAAACGTCCATTGTCCCATTTTCTATGTGCCAATGTGTTGACACAACTACTCGAAGTCTCTAAACTTTTGCTTTTCAAGGGTTGGCGATGTTGGAGAGAGTATCATGCATTTTGAGTAGCCCCAACCGAGCCTTTTTCCTGTATCTTCGTTTGAGAAATTCTAGGGTCGTCTACGAGAAGGTTCCGGTTATTACAACGAAGTCAGTTTAGTTGTCCAAATTTAAAAGCGACGGGCCGAAGTAAGTTCAGGGGCCAGAAACGAAGCTGCCTGATCTCGTTATCCAACCATAAGCGTAAATGAATGTCCTTTCGACACCCCTTTCCAATCACGACGAAAACAGAACCGTCAATCGGTTTCATAACGCATGTCTCGAATTCACAATGTTTGAACACGTTTCTTTTCGTCTCCAGACCTTGTACAACCTCCAGCAACAGCAGCAGCATCAAGTGGCCCCTCTCAAGCCCCCCACGCCCCCCGGCCAGCCCCCCCCCGCAGCGCACCCACAGCCCCCCCCCCTTCCAACCCAACCCCGGCCCCCGGTCAACCCGCCCCTCCCCCCGGGTCCCCCTCCCCCCGAAGTCATTGAGCAGGCGCGAGCCGCCCGGCCCTCGTCCTCATTCCCCGGGCCCAAACCTCCCCCGTCTCTTCCCCCGGGTTTCC